TATCAGGAAAAAAAGGAGCTGGATTGGCTGTCAAAACAAAGGGAGAGAATGAGATTAGAAAATCAAATGGCAAGGCCTCTCCTGCTCCTCTTTGTTAGGGTTCAGCTGGGCCTCCTTCTGAATTCATATTGGCATTATCTTTGGACATGTGGAGTAACTGGAAAATACAGCTGATATTGAATTGTTGGGAAACTTCCCCTAAAATAGGAGGACTGTATCCTAATTTGCAAGTACAGAATATTCAGAATAATTCAGGATATAAACCAGCTCCTAAATAGTCAAACCCATAAACTAACTGTTTTTTCTGTCCCAGGAAATGCCATCATAGCTTAATTTAAAAAATCCAGATACTCTAAATTTCTAACATAACATTTTAGAAATCCTTGTATTATGTAGCACCTCAGACTTAATTAGAATACAAAAATGAACTTCTGGGAAAGGTCTACAAATTCTGCTCAGCCACTTTTTTTTTATTGCCTTCCCAATAAGGAAAATAAATTCTATTTTATATTTGCAAAAGGTTATTTTAGGATCAGCAACACCTCAAAAAACGGGCGCTTTTTACACTATCTAGGTTGTACTACATTTAGTCCATTTTCCTCCTGCAGGTGAAGGACTGTGACAGATTTGAAGCTAAAAATAGTTGCACAATGACTGAAATAATACAAAAATGATACCAGGAGCCTGCCATGGATCTCTCTGGACATGGCTGGTGCCTGAAATCTGTAATTGTGGGGGAAGAGCTTTCAAAGGACTCCAACTGACTTGAAATTCCATGGGCATGGAAAGCTCTGGCTGCAGGGAAAGGGCAGCTGCTTTTAGCTGGAAATTTTTCTGCTTCACCCCTGAATTACTGCTCCATAATTTGAGATTTTATTTAGTTGAAATTCCACCCTGATTTTTTTTTTGTCTGTATGTATATTTCAAAATAATGTATTTTGACTCGAACTAAAAACCATGCACAGGTTGAAAACCTCATAAAAGATATCAAAAGGGTTTCTTTTTTTATCTTGTGATCAATATCACCCACCTGCTAATATTAAATATGGATTCTTGTTCAGAAGTTCTCCCACCCAGAAATTGCTGGAAGCTTGGAGTTTATTCTATAGGATTATTTTTCTTCTAATGGCATCCATTTCCCTAATGTTTAGGGATTAACTCTGCTTCTGGATAATTTTAGGATAATTAAATATAGGAAAATATAGAATTATGGAATTATTCAGGTTGGAAAAGAGCTTTAAGAACATCAAATCCAACCATCAACCAGCAGCTTGACAAATTAACAACAAATTAAACCTTGTCCCCATGTGCCACATCCACAGAGAGGGGCTACAGCCCCATCTATCCATCTGGAATTTTATTAGAAGTGAAGTAAAAATTGCATTGTAGAGACAAGCATGGCCTCTTTTTTCTACAGGGAAAATATTTCTGCACAGCATGAAGAGCATTTGTTTGGCAAAATTGCATCAATTCTCCTCTTCTTTCCAAGGGAAGAATAAGGCAAGTGGGTAAAATATTATAGGACCTTCAGAAATTAGATTTTTTTTCCTTCTTTCATTCAGCCTTGTTAGTGTTAAACCCTCCAGTGCCCCTCTCCAATTGCCAGATTGATTGAAAAATGCAGATTTTGATAAAAACACTGTCTGTTGTTTCATCTGGCTCTTAGTTTCCAATTCCTGGGAAAAAGTTGCTCTTTTTATTGCTTATTTTGGAATGGCTTCAATTTAACCCTGGAAGGAAGAGCTGGATGAGATATAGGCAAAATGGACAAATAGAAACTGGTTTTTCTATAAAAACACCCTGAAAATGCACCTTGCAATCTCTCTCCTGCACCCAGATGGCAGCAGGATGCTCTTTATAACACAGGACAGCACTTCACAGTGGATGTTCAACATCCCCACTTATGTTTATTCTGATTATTTAATCCACTTTAAATAAAAACCAACACCACCCCCAACCTAATAATTGTAAGGCAGCTTCGTGACCTCAGAAAAGCTGGGTTAAACACAGCTCTAAATTCTCCCACCACAAAAATCTATACAGAAGTGGAATAAACAGCTTTGGATGTGCAATTTCTTTTATTTTCTTTTTTTTTTTTAAAAAAAAGGAGGAGGAAGGATCTGAATGTTTAGGGCTGTAATACATCCTCGTGGGATTTAGGTCCAATTATCTGCATTTTTCCTGGATTTCATCTATCTCCTCAAGTAATTTAGCTCATATCCACACTTAGCCCACGTCTATTTAGTTATGGAGACCTTGATTTAATGAGTGCTGAGCTGCCCAGGCAAGGACAAAAGTATTGTTGAGGCTTAACAGTGCTGAGCATGAACTAAATACAGCTCTGGTCAATAAGATCCTGGCTTTTGGGAGGTTTTTAAGGAGTTGCTCATGGAAAACTGAAGTTCTGAGTGTTAACTTTGGAATTTAATAGCTGGGGGACAAAAGCTGTGCACACTGAGGGGAAAATGCAAATAAAAAACAACTGGAAAAAAAGCAAGCTGGTGATGGCAGAAATGAAAAAGAGGCTTTAGTTCATCTCTTGCCCAGGTTTTTTTCACTGAGCAACAGCAGTGAGACAAATGTAGCCTTGCCTGGACCACAGGCAATGACTTCTCCCTCCACAGAACCCAACCCTGTCCCTGGTGCCTGCAGTAAACCCAGGAGCAGGCAGAGCTCTGGTGCTGCACCAGTACAAAACCATCAGTATTTGCACTGGGAACGCACCATTCCTGCTCAAAGTGGAGCAAAACTCCCTGCTCCTGGCTCCTCAGCAATGGGAAACTGGGTAAGGTTCATAAACCACATCCAGAGGGTGCTGAAGGATCAAGCCTTCATTTTATGTGCTCATAAATCCTCTGAAGATAAAAAGCCATCTTTTATTTTAAAAAGTCTCTCCAACTCCTCGTTTGGGAGCCAGTTTGACTCTGAGCCCAAGTGCACGTTGATCAACCCTTTACTGTTCAGGTGGATTTGTGGGTTTAACACATTTGCAGAGTATAAAGGAGTGGCTGTTGTTCCCTGCTGGGGTTTGTGATTTACAGTGGTCACTTTAGGTAGCCACAAATGTATTCTAAACTTCTCAGAAAATCATCTGGGTTTTGTGCAGGTATAGTTGGAACCTTTGAAATTGGAGGATAGGGTTTTCTGTCTCATATATTCAGCACCAAGCCCACCAAAATTCAGGTTTTTAACAGACTGAAAGGCTGGGAGAGTTGGGAACATTCAGCCTGGAGAGAAGAAGCTTTGGGGTGACTTTCCAGTGCCTGAAGGAACTGCAGGAAAGATGGAGAGAGACAACTGAAAAGGGATGGAGGGAGTGGAAAAGAGGGAATGGCTTCAAACTGACAGAGGGAAGGGATGGCTGGGATATTGGGAAGGAATCCTTCCCTGGCAGGGTGGGCAGGCCCTGGAATAGAATTCCCAGAGAAGCTGTGGCTGCCCCTGGATCTCTGGCAGTGTCCCAGGCCAGGCTGGATGGGGTTTGGAGCAGCCTGGGACAGTGGGAGGTGTCCCTGGGGGTGGAACTGGATGAACTTTAGGGTTCCTCCCGACCCAAACCAGTCTACAACTCTGTGATTTAATACACAGTGATAGAAACATTGTGACACAACAATTTCTATTTTGCATGCATATTTTATTTGTTTCTCCTCTTATCTACCTTTTGTCCCATTGTATAATTTTTCTAGGATTGAAAAGCAGGAGTGACAAGATGGACAAGGCAAATGAGTTTGTCCTGTAGTGTCCAAACTTTTGCAAGGGGAAATTGTCTTTAGAGGATGGTGCCAGTGCCTGGTGCAGACAGTGTGGGAGAGCTGGAAAGAGCTGGAAGGAACAAGGATAAGCAGCTTTTTCCATCACTTGGAAGAAGATCATCTTGGGAAAAAAGTCACTCCATCAGGCAGTGAATTATCTCAGCTGCTAAAGGTTTCAAAGTTTCAAGGCCACTCTTACCAAGCAGTGGCAGAGGCGCATTTGGGGAGCAGCACGGAGACGATCCATCATTGATGACAAATCCAAGTTTTCCTGTTAGGATGTGCAGGAGTGCATGGCAGACATCTGTTCTCCGTGCCACAGCAGCAGCCACCACTTGTTCTCTCAGCTCTTTAGAGGAGTAATCTGCCAGAACCTGAGCGGAATTACCTGGGGCACGGTCACGTTAGTGCACGTAATCTGGGGAAGAATGGTTCTCTGAACAGATGAATTCATAAATTATGGATTTTTGACATCTAGATGCATCACAGGAACCCTGTAATCAGGCACTTTTTGAAGTACAGTGCACTCAGAACACTCTCAGACCTTGCAGATGTGATTAAACCAGCGTGCCCTGTGCTACTCCAGTGAATTCCAAAATTCCAGCCTTCCCACACTGCTTTTCTCAACATTTAACTTCCACCACTCTCCTGCTTCCATGAATCCACCTGAGCTGCTGCTGTGTCACTGAAGTATTTTACTACTGAATTCTTTTATAAACCAGCTTTCCTGGTTAGGTCTTCTATTTTCAGATACCTAAATTTAGTGCATATTCAGAACATTCTCTCTATACAATCTATATATAGCTTATTCTATTTATATAGATATATCCTTATATCCCCTAAACAGTTTATATAGTTGTTCTCTCTTTATATAAACTATTTTTATAGTTTACATAGAAATTCTGTCTTTTTAGGAACCATTTTTAAAGAGAGTTTACACAGTTTACTCTGTTTATCTAAATTATTTTATATGGAGAATATAAACTCTTTTAAAGAACTCTATCTATGGTGTTATGTGTAGAAATAGGTGATATTTATATAGATGATATTTTAATTTTGTTTATATTTATAAATTTATATAAATAATTCTTTCTATTTCTATTTTTTATATTTCTATTTCTATTATTTCTATTATTTCTATTTGTATTCTTTCTATTTCCATTTCCATTTTTATTTTATTTATATCTATATTTTTATTTTCATTTTTAATTAATTTTTAGTTTCATTTTTAACTTGTAGTTTTATTTTTGGGATGCTCTGGCTCTCAGGAAGGTTGGGTTTGTCTCCAGGACGGGAGCTGTGGATGCCACCTGTGACCCCGCGGCCGATGACACACGCGCGGGATCCGTCCACTCCTCGAAATTCTGCGTCCACACAAAAGCCCAGCCTGGTCTGGAGAGGCTTCCAAGCAGCTCAGGATTTTTCAGAGTTTCCATTAAAGGTCTGAGGGCAGTGGGGATTTGATTTCCTTTTCCAGAGCCATCTGTAAGCCGTGGTGGGGAACAGCTGCTCCTGCAGCAGGTGCCAGCTCCCAGATTTCCTGGGAGAGAAGCTAACGAGGTTTTAGGAGGTTTTAGGCTGTCAGATCAAGATTGTCATTGGATGTTTCTGGTTTTCCTCTATTAAGCAGCCACTGTGTTTATTAAAAATTAGGGGTTAAGCACTGGGAACAAAGTATCTCCCTTGAAAAGCAAAGGGACTGGGGAAAAAAGGTGTAGGGAGTGGGAATGGTCACAGAGAAGAACCTGTACTGGAAGTCTGTGTGATAAAGACAGGTTCTGATCGTATTTGAAGAGTTTAGTCATAATTTAATCTGGGGAAGCAAGGGGAGAAGCAAAGTGGAGAGATAAAAATAGATAAATATGAGTAAGCCACTGGTTTAAAACGCAAGGAAGCAGCTCTGGTGCAGAAAACCTTGGCCAAGGCTCACCCGGCAGGGCAGAACCCAGAGCAGGAATTAAATCCTGCAGTTGTGTGTGTTGATTTATTTTTATTTTTGTTTATAATAAATTTTCTGGTGCTCTGCTTCTATTTATCCAAGAATTCAGTATTCTATTTATGTCCTCTTTTCTTTTGTAAAGACAAACTTTTTACAGCTTTCTCTAATTCATGGAATTGTCTCATTTGTCTTCCAGGTTCAAGGGATCACCCTGAGCAGTTTCAGACCATAACCAGGTAACTGAGGTTATTGATTTCCACCAATCAACCCTCCAGGTTATAGAGGCCAAAGACAACACTGTAAAATAGAATATTTTATCTCCAACACTTATCCAGACTCAAATGAACTAAAATATTTCCCTCAGAGAATCTATGGGCTGGTGATTTCACAGTTAATGCAGGGCCCTGTTACAGAAATGTAATTAAATCAAAGGAAGTTCTTGTTTTCATTCCCACATTTTTCAGCAATGATGACAATAAATACATTAATTTGTTATCATCCTAATTCACTGAATTGTCACATCCTTTTATTAGGTCAAATAAAGATACTGCACTGAATAGAACACATCTATCAAAATTTGACATTTCGGTTTTGTTGATCTTCTGAGAAATATTTATCTGGTAAACATTGATGACCGTTCTGTCTATTTTAATCATCATTCTCAGCTATCTTGGACAAATATTTAAATGACTGCTGGGGCTGAAATGCAGATAAAACCCCCCCAATAATCTCTCTGAGGGTGTTCATAACCCAATTACTCGGGGCTTGGAACCTTCCCATTGAGTTTTTTCCAGTCCCGTAACAGAAATCACTCAAAGCTGAAGGTCTGGATCAAATAAGTTCTACTTGTGTTTTTATTATATAAATTGCAAGAGCTTTTTGGAATATTTTCATTTTAGACATTAGGGCTAATTTGTCTCAGAGTTCACTTATAAAATGATGTTAGAAATAGTTGTAACAACAGAATATTTGATACGGAGAGTTGCCTGGAGGCTTGGAAATGATTCAGTGGAGGGAGGCAGTTTCCCAAAAGAAAAGAAGCTTCTTTTTTTTTTTTTTTTCCAACAGAATATAAAGGTCAGCCCATTTCAGAAATATTTTAGTTATTAGTGGAGATGCTTAAAAGCTTGAAGGAAAAATTGTGAATGTGTCATTCCCAGTTTAGAGTTGCCCTCCAGCTCATTTGGTTTTAAGATGGTCTCACTTTCATATTGTACAGAAGATTTGAAGATAGAAATGTCACAACCAAAAGAACTCATTATCTCTGTCCTTAAATTTGGTGGAATTCCATGCATTTTTACATCCTGAGTGGGGATTATTCAAGCACTGCTTCATCTAGTGATAGCTGAGCCAGCAGACACGAGAACAAACACAGCTTTTGGGAAAACCACTTCATTACCCCAGTTTAGAACCAGCTTTTTACAACTCCTGCTGCAGAGCTGTGATGTTTAAAGTCGTTGTTTTACCAGAATTTGTAAGAAATTCAGCAGAGCACTAATTCCATGAGCCTGAACCTGTTTTTTTCCCCAGCTTCTGCTCCGTAACTCCTTTTTCTCTGGAGACTTTGGAAATGATGCTGTTCTGGAGGTTGAATGAAAAGCTCTCCAGGGAATACAGACACTTTATCTGGGAGTCAAAGGAGAGGATGGGGAGGGTTTTCTCTGCAGGAACAAAAATCTGAGGCAGGTTCTTGAGTTCACTGAGCTGTGCTTAAGAAGAATTAATTTCTTAAGAAATAATACCTGAAAAGCAATGCAAACAAACAACTTATTGAAAAAAAAAATACTTTACCTGTGATGAGAATTGTATCTGCTTCAGTGAACCTGAGCAGGTTCTTTTGTTATTAATGCCTCCTGACTAATTTAGTTGCTAATACCTGCTAATTCCATTTTTATCAGCTCAGAAGAAAAACCAAACCCCGTCATGAAAACGCTGCCTGTAGCCAAATAAAATCTCTGGTGACACATTTAAAACAGGTTACACGAAACTTCAAGCTTGGTGGAGATTAAAAGGCAGTGGGAAAGTTCCCTGAGAGTCTCAAAGGGTCTCGGTGCTTAACAGCACTCAGGGAAACAAAACTTTTGCGTTCTGAAATAGATTAAGGACAGAGGATGATGTGCCAGGGCCTTCCCATCCTCACAGCCAAGAATTCCTTCCCAAAATCCCATCCATCCCTCCCCTCCAGCAGTTCAAAACCATCCCTCCTTGTCCTGTCCTTCACACCCTTGGAAAAGGTTTCTCTGTATCTTAAAGTTCTTTTCTGACCTTAATTCTGTTATTTTGTGATTTTAGCCCTGGTCTAATTCGTTCTTGGAGGTGAAAGGGAAATCTTTACCCACGTGAACATCTGCAAATGAAGAACTGCCTTCACTTTTCAAAGGCACTACAGACCAGAAGATTTAAATCAGCTCTGATCCCTTCTGTTTCTCAAGGTGGAGCATGCAAACCATGGAATTTTGGCTTGGAAAGGGATGACCAGACCACAGAGATCTCAACATTTAACAGTTTTTTATAATTGTTTTTTATTTCCAGAACAACATGCAGCTTTGGGGCTGACCCAACCCGGACAGGCAGTTCTGGACAGGATTCTGCTAGATTTCAGGAGAATGCTGCAATAGAAATTCAGGGTTTGTATTTTCTTTATCCACTTCATTGATCTGCTTCATCAAATTCCAGGGAATTGCAATTACCTGTGGGAAGAACACGTCTGGGAAAGTTTTCTGGTGATCCAGTGCTATCTCCTTTCTTTTTTGTTCTTCTACTGCCAGGAGCTGAACCAAAGCTGGCTCCTTCCAAAGGCAGTGCCTGTATTCCTTACCCACATCATCTTTAAATTCCTAAGGAAGTGTTGGTGTTATCAATCCCAGTTTTACTCCTCTTTTCCAAGCTCTGTGGAAATTCCTTTGGCATTTCCACAGCTGGGCAGGCTCTGCTCACCTCAAACTGATCTGAAGAATGACTTGTAGCAAAATATCTGCTCATGAATGTGACCTGGCAGAAGGAAGAGCTCCCAAAGAACAGTGGGATTCTCCTAAGGGAAGGCTTGAGACCACCAAGACTGAGGGTTGAGGATAAAAACCTCCCTGATATCAGCAGGAAGTTTTGCTGGAATCACAGTCACAACTTTTTCCCACTCCAGGTGATGCCTCTGCCATCCCTTCCGTGGCTTGATTGGCAGGGAGCAAAAAATGGGAAGTGGGAAAGCCAAGGAAGGCTGAGAAAGATGCAGAGAGACAATTTATGAGAGAATGGAGGAGCAGGACAAGGGGGAACGGCTTCAAACTGACAGAGGATAGGGTTAGGTGGGATATTGGGAAGGAATTCCTGGCTGTGAGGGTGGGGAAGCCCTGGAATGGAATTCCCAGAGCAGCTGTGGCTGCCCCTGGATCCCTGGGGGTGTCCAAGACCAGGCTGGATTGGGATTGGAGCATCCTGGGACTGTGGAAGGTGTCCCTGCCATGGCAGGAATGGAACAAAATGATCATTAATATTCTTTTCAAACCAAACTGTTCCGATTCTGTGATGAAAGGAAAAATAAGAAGGGAAGAGCTCCTGACTTTCTCACACCCATTCAGAACCACCACAGTTCATCTCCTGGAAAATAAATTTATCACCAGTCAAAGCTGGCAGCTCTGTTTATAGCCTGCAATTACTCCAGGCCCCATAAATGTGGATGGAATTAAGTGTTAATATCTGTCTGTGTGAGGAGTGCAGCAGCACATCAGCACTGTTATTATATCAAGGTAATTATTGACACAAGTCTTCAGCTGGATCTTAATGTATTTATTAAGAATTCTTTCACAATCGCTGTTGCTCTCCCATTATTATGGTTTTATTCTTTGTTCAGCTGCTAGATGATAACCTTGGAAAAGATACTTGTAATAATAAACTTTGGACATTGTTTTTAAATGTAGAATATTTATTTCAAGCATCACTTATTAAGCCTAGCACTCATCAGTATTGATTTTTCCAGGAAATAGAATTTCCTCATCTGATAGCACAGGAATAAAAGAGGACTGAACATTTTTTAGACAGTTCTCACTCAGCAAATTATTGTATTATTGCATTGCCTTCATCCCTTCTCACCAGAAATGAGTGTACAGAGGTTGTTAACACCAAAGCAGTGAAGGTTACAATAATTTCTTTGGAAGTTTGACTTGGAACAAAAGGATTTTGGGTCAGATAAACACTCTACCACGAGCTAAATTAAATCTTTTTGCTGGATACCAGAGCCAAAGAAGCAAAAATCAGGGAGTAAACTTCCCACAGTCAATAAACCATAAGTAACCTGTCAAATGTAAGTAAAAGGGGGAAAAAATAAGGCAATGTTGAGATCTGCAAACCGGAGCAACAAGGCAGAAGAGTGAGAAAATTAATGCCAACACCTCATAGAAATCACCAGTGGCTTCAGCTGAGTTTCTCACAAGTAAATGTCAGCTGAGCCAGAGGCAGCAAACACCTCTGGAACTTGGATATTAAAATTACTTTGAAGGCAAATACCTGGAATCCAAGGAGAAAGGTGCCAGACGTGGAAAATGAGTAAAGCATTAATGAGTGAGGAGAGGCAAAGCAGGCCCTGGAGCTCTCTGTGCTGATGTTCCCACCCCTGGGTTAAATCTCTGCCATTTTGGGCAAGGTTTAATTTTCATTAACTTCTCTGTTGACACAAACAGATCCTCACCAGGAATCCTTTCTAATTCCTATCTTGTTAAAGCAAGCTAGGACCCACAAAAAGCATTTTTCCCTATTTCAGCTGCTCATTGGAAAGCTTTCACTACTCTTTAAATACTCATTTAAATACTCATTTCTGTATTTTCATCTGCATCATCCATCTTTTTCCCAAAAAATGTATTTTTCCCTGGAAAATTCATGTCAGGAATATTCCCAAACCCTGGTGAGAGCTGAGCCAAGACATGGCTGGGACAATAAATGCATAGCCAGAAAGTTCCAGAGTGCTGGAACTGTTTGTTCACCATTGAAATTTCTCTCCTCAATCTCAGCCCTACTCAAACCCTTCTGCTTAATTCCCTCTTGCTTTTTCTTTTCCAGGTTTTGTCCATTTTGCTGGATGAAAAGGGAAGGGCTCAAACAGCATCCTCTGATCTGAACTGGCTGGGTGTGAACACGTGGGAAAAAGAAAATGGGAATTTTTCCACTGCCACAAAAAGCTGGGATTGAGTTTTTTCCACTTAAAGGCTGTTTTAATTAGGACTTGAGTGTCAGAAATATCTTTAAAATTATCCTAAACAAAAAATAAAACCCTCTTTTAATCCCATAGCTACAGCAGGGTGAGTTAGAAGCCAAATTTAGTGGTAATTCCTACATTACTGTGTCTTTAATTATCGTGGCCCAGCATCATTCCCACACTTATCAATCAAAATTGGAAATACGACACAAATTCATCTGCTACTGTGGCTTTTCCCTTGTATTTCAGAGTTTATATAACACAACTCTCATAATACCTTCAAGGAAAAAAAAAAAAAGAAGAAGAAATAGCAGGCAAGAAATAGATGTCTTGGTCTTTCATCTAAATTTAATGAGAAAAAGAGTTGCAATGAAATTAGAGATGTGCTGAACTATCCATAGGAGATTCCAAGCCATTATTAGCCTGCTCACCCTGCTACTTATCTTCAAATGCACACACCAGCAGCAGAAAGGATTTAGGTTACATTTTAGTAATCCAAATCTTGTAGGTACTGGGGTTTAGTGAAACTGGAGCACTCGTTACTATAATTTTGCTACAAAAAAAAAATCAGTATTTAGTGAAGTGAGAGGCCTGGTTTAATGTACAAAAGCAAGGAGTTTGGGGCTGTGGCAGTGAGGTTGGAGTGTCAGTCTGGATTGCCAGCCCTAAAGCTGAATTTCCTCGGGTTTGGGGATTTGTCAAGTATTTAAGAGCATAGAAATGTAAACTTTCTTCTTGATGATATTCAAACCTCTGTAAAACACCCTTTGAAAAAGGGGAAAATACAGGAGGAAGAGGCCAAATCAGCAACGCTGGTGTGGCTGTGGTTAGGAACAAATCCTGGTCTTGTATGGCCAGAGAGGGATTTACGCATCCAAGGTCCCTCCTAACCATGGATGAGGAGGAGCTGGGATCTCTCAGGAGAATTTTTGCCTCCCTCTGCCTCAGTTTCCTGGAACTCTTTTTCTGCTGGTAAAGCTTCAATTTAACTGAAATGCAATTTTAACTGGAAATGAATATTATATTCATAATATCATGGCTCTGGGTGTCTGAATCACATTGATCAAAAGTAATAAGTGTGATGGAGAAATTAATTGGAAAAAATCATCATCAGAGATACAAAAACTGCATCTATTTCTCTATTAAACTAAAACCTCTATTTCTCAGTCATCCACCTCATTCTCACTACAACCCCTCTGTGAAAGGTGCTGTGGAGGGAGGAAGCATCGCTGTGTAGAGCAGATGTGTTCTAAAAATAACATTTTGTGGTGCTTGGAAATGTTGAGGATTGGGTTTAAATCTGCAAAATTCAACAAATTGTGGACACCAGCACATTTTAACAGTGACTCTGAGTGCTACTCCTCCTCTGTGTCCCCTTGGCAGTGAGCTGGGAGCTCCCCAGCCACTGATTAACTCAGGTTATCACAATTAGAGGTCTCCCAATTAATACAAATCAGAATCCAGTGGCCCTGTCAGACTCAGAGCTGCTTTCCTGATGGCAAATTCATGAGTAGCTGCTACCTTTAGCTTTGACACCACTTGTTAGGGAGCAGGAAAACTCTGATTCCTTCCAGTTCACCATGAAAGAATGGAAAGCACCCACGGATAATTCTGAAGTGGTCTTAAAAATGTTGCCTTCCAAATATCCCTGCTCAAATCGAACTGCCCTCAGCTGGGTTTGTCAGCAGGGACTGATCTGCAGTGGGGCTTTGGAAAACAAAGGCCAAATATTTAAAAGAAACTCTCTGGGAAGGTTTGGGATGGGTTCAGACACGGTGGGAATGCTCAGAAGCTTTAGAGCTGAGGGCAAGATTCTCACCAAACTCATCAGGTCCTGGCTGGTGGAAATTGCTGTGGTCTTTAATACTTGTAGCTCTGGAAAGTTCATTAAAATTAAAGCTTTGTGTAATTAAGCAGCTCTTTCAGACAGTTTCTCCCCTGTTCAGCTGGTTTTAAACCCAAGGTTTTGCTTGGAAGCTCTTGGTGATATCTGAATATTTCTCCTCATGTCTCTGCCTATATTTATCTGATTTTCTGGTAAATCCTTCAGGGCTGAATCTCCTGAATCCATTATCCAGGCTGCACTCGTGGAATCCAATTCAATAATTCAATACTACACCCAAAAAAAAAAAAAAAGGAAAAATTAGACCTATTTTTAGAAGCTCAGTTCCTCATTCAGCTTTTTCTGTACAACTAACTGCAGCTGGGGATCATTTTTCATATTTCCCTATCAGTGTTTTATCAGCTTTTTCAGTTTGGGATGTTAATTGAACTGAATTAATTCTTACCAACACACTGTGAGGAAAATGTTACACCCAGAGTTTTAGAAATGGTACCTAATTATTGACATTTTAATGGATTTAAGTTCTAGATACAATATTTGACCTCTAACCAAAAAAGTGGGGATTGATGTGGCACAAGAAAATAGAATTTCATGATACAGCAGCAAAAGGAAACTGATATTTTGTTAGAAGTGTTTGCACATGAAATGTGCTGTGAAAGTTAATTTTATTACTAAATTGGTATACAAAGCTGAATCCCCAAAAGGGAGCTCAGCTGTCAATTCTTCAAGCACAATGCTACAACTAAAAATAAAAAATTCAATGTTCACATGAAATTTCTTGGCTTCAAGCGTGCAGAGCAGATTGTGCAGCTCTTCTTGCTCCTGAATACTAATTTTACATGTAAACATTTCCTTATTCTGGGCAGGATTGCTCTTCGTTTGCCTCTCACAATCCCTGGAAAACTGGAAAATAGGAAATTATCTCCCTTACAAAGGGAGGCTGGAAATAGAATAGATATGAAACTACAGATGAAAGGGTCTTAGAAGTAAATTGTGTGTCCAGTGCTGCTTTTCAGCATCCCTGAGCCAGTGGCTCCTGTTCCCATGGCATTGCTGCGCTCCCTGCAACCACTGAAAATCCTGCAGGAAGTGAATTTGGGCTGAATTTGGCCCGAATTTGGCCCAGGGGGTGAAATAGTAGAAGTTCAGCTGTGTTTTGCATCAATTTAAAAATAAAAATTCCTGTGCAATTAGTGAGATTTAACGAGGTGATGGCCAGGGGAGAAGGGGGAAGATGAAGCTTTAGCTAAGGCTGGTCTTTTCTACCAACAGGTAACAGGATGCAAATGAATTTGTGTCTGAGATCTGGGGACAGCAAAAATAGTTTTTTATTAATTAAGTACCTCTAGCACAGTGTCCTTCCCATGGAAAAAAACCACAGTTTTCTCCTGGAATAATGAAGTATCCAAGGCCAGGTTGGACAAGGCTTGGAGCAACCTGGTCTAGTGGGAGATGTCCCTGCCCACAGCAAGGGGTGAAAAATAAGATTACACTTGGCATTCTGCACATACAAACCAAGTTTGCTTTAGTCCCTTGTTCCTAATTTAGGTTTTCCTGCTGTATCACATTCCTGGGGCACCCCTGGACCATAAAAGCCTTGTTTTCCTGTCACAGGAGTGCTGTGATTCCCAGCCAGGTGTGGATACACTCCCTGCATTATTTATCCTTCCAGGAGCATGAAAATCCTTGCAGCCTGTGGCTGCTTCAGGCTGAGACCTGATTTAGATTGGCACAGAAAGACTTTTTGTTGCTGTTTTCCTCTGCAAATAATCCCATCTTCCTGCAGACATTCCTTTATTAATTCATTTATTAAGTCACCTTCTCTACTCTGCTGGTTGGGTTCTCCCACTACAAAAAAAAAAATAAAATAAAATAAACTTTAATTTGTGGTTTGTAGCTTGTAATTTGTGGTTGGTTTGATGTGGCTGCATTTGTGTAAAAGCAGTGGTGCAGCACCTGGAGGAGCAGCCAGGGTGCAGCACCTGGAGGAGCAGCCAGGACAGTAAAAGTGTGTTAAATCCCAAACCAGGGGAGCTGGGCTGGGAGCTTGATGATCTTGGACATCTTTTCCAGCCTTAATGATTCTGTAATTGTCTCTTTCCCCACCTGCCAGCTCCACCCTTCTGCCATGCCCTTGAACACTCTCCTGGTATGTGCAAAATTGGTTTTTAAAGTGGGATTTTAGGGCTTGAAAGGTGCAGGAGGACTTTGCTGAGCACACAGCCATTTCTTAGATGAACTGAACCGTCTCTTCCCCAGCTTTGTAAAGAATAATTCAGCTCCATAAATGTCTGGGTTTTCCATCTGACCCCGAAGTCAGGGAAATCCTTCCTGTGGGAGCTGAAAGCAGGAGCAGGTGCTGCAAACCCCAACATCATCCCAGCAGCAGAATGTTCTCCCCTGGCGTTTTAAGCTCTTCTCTGACAGCTTAGCAGGCACCACGAGCTGAGCACTTGAGCATTTTAGAGCTAATAGGAGAAGCAGCATCTTTGCAGGGTGTCATTAGGAGATGACATTTGCAAAAGAGAGTCAAAGACTTATTAAAATTTGATGTGAGCTTCAGGAGCCTCTCGAAAGTGAATCATCCCCCCCTTCCAGCCAGGCTTTGTGCTGACTCCCAGGTTGGCATCCCCCCGTCCTCTGAATTTTAGGAGCTTTATGAATTCACGATTACAGAGTGTCAGGAATTCAAGGACCAGCTTGCCACGGATTTGGATGGAAACATTAAAAATTCCTGCCTGGAATTGCTCTGGCCCACCAGTGGGAGCAGAGCTGCTGGTTGCTGGTGGAGGGGAAGCAATTAGAGGAGAGGCTGCTGCTCAGAGCTCCTGCTCTTGGTTGTTGCAGGTTGTGAACATGCTGAGAGCTGTTTATTTGAGCAGAGACTTACTAAAGGGAGTGATAGTCATACATTTGGGTCAGTGACAATTTTATGTAGAGCCGTGAAGTGCTGCTGGTTTTTTTGTTGTTGGTTTTTTGTTGGGTTTTTTTTTTTTGCCTCCCTGGAAACATGGGCTGTAGCAAAAACAAATTGCTGTAAAGAGAAGCAGCTGCCAGGGAGGTCAGAGAGTAATTTCTGTGGCCAGATATGATCAACTGGTGTTGAGAAAGAGGTGGATAAGGAAGGAAATTGTGCAGTGCCTTTGTTTCCAGAAGAAGAGCTGATTAAGATGTCAGCCTGTTCTGCTTCCATCTTCATTTATTAAATTGTCAGTTTCTATCTGTCCCACGGGATCTCCCCGTAGTGAATCTTCTCTGCAGAGGGAGATTTCTGGAGCTGGGTTTGATATCTCAGACTCAGCTTCCCATGGAAATGGTACTAATTTCAGGGCTTAAAAAGGGGGATAAAAAGCAGCACATTTGATCTCAGCTTTTGTCATTCATCACGCAGGATTTTTTTGGCCAAAGCTTCGAGATCAATCCTTTGGTTTCACATTCCATCAACGTCGTGTGTAAAATGCATCTCTCAACTTTCAAGTGACTTTGGCTTCTCTTCAGGCTGACTCAGGACCGCGAGTGGAAGAAGTTTTGGTTCTCATTGGAGACCTTCCTCCTTCTCCAGGCTGACCTGGACCCGCTCTTGGAGGCGTTAGGTCACAGGTTGGACTTGATGATCTTGATCTTTTCCAATGTAGCTCATGCTGTGATTCACTCTGTGGTTCTCTTTGTTCAGTCACTCTCCAAGGGTCACCCCAGCCCATTTTGCCCTAAATCAGCCTGGCTGTGTTCTTGTGGTGCATCCTGTGATCATTTTGTGTGTGGGAGGGCCATGCACAGACCAGAAATGTCTTATCAAACACCACATCCCTGGGTCTTGGTGTCAACAACAACAACACTCGGCCTGATGGGGAGCTCCTTTGACTTCCTTTTAACTGACCTGATTATTCCTTCTGAGGTGAGATCACGCCAAAAGCACCTAAAATCTAATGAAAACAGCACCTGGATCTGTGAAAAGGAGCAAAAGCTCTTTTAGTTGATTGAAGAGTCTTCAGTTTGCAAACACCTTTATTGCACTCAACACAGGCCTGGCCCAGGCCCGCCCTCTGGAAATAAAAATCCTAATTTGTGTTCCCTGCCCCCTGAGAGGTGCTGGAACCTGACTGGTGCCAGAGGCTTCCCAGAGCTGCAGCAGAGCCTCTCAGAGCCACAGCAGAGCGTGCTCAAAGTCACAGCATCCTTGAGCTTTCACTGCCTCCCTGTTATTATTGCTGCTGTTATTAGACTTTGTAATGCACTCAGCTCCCAAGTGCTCCCTGCTATTGCTGAGATTACACAATCCTTCAAGGAATTTTAAAGACAGCTGTTTTGTGCACGCTCCAAAGGAACAGGGAGGGGGAGAAGCTGTTTTTTGCACTGATAGGCAGCATTGCTGTACAGAACTAAAGTGTAGGTGATGGAGAAAAGACCTACAAGGTCTCCAGTGTACAGCAGGAGAAGGGAGGTGCAGCTCTTCCCAGAAAACCTGTCCTGCAGGACACGGCTGCGACTTTGAGGGAGCTGGAATGAGTTTTCCTTCAGCTCAGTGTCCAGGGTGGAGAGTCCAGAGCCACAGGAACGTGGACAGAAAGGTCTCAAAAGGCCAAGTGGTCCACGGTGGTCCCATCTCACCACAGCCACACACAAAACTTCAGAGAACAAGAGAATCATTAAGGGTGGAAAAGAACAAGATCATCAAATCCAACCATTCCTTGATGAATCATGGCTGGAGGCTGGAAAGGGGATGGAATAGAAAGTGGTGGAGGAAAGGAATTATCTGAGAAATTGTTTTAGCTACAGGATTTGGAGAAGAAGAAATGAAGGACTTTTATATTTGCAAAGCTCCTTTGCATTTTAGAAGTGTGCTGTAACCTGAATTGTGCAACAGGATAGAGCATTGATAGTACTGATAACAGGTTTTAATTGATTTTTATTCCTAGGGATAGGGAGTTTATGACATCTGAATGTTCCCTGTCTGTCTCAAGCAGTATTTCCCTAATTTCTTCCAGTTTTCCTTGAGGTCGAGGCTGGGCTTGGACAGGCTGGGATACTTTCCCTGTATTTTCTTTTGGAAGAAATTTAAGAGAGCAACACCCAAAATTTATGAAGTCTGAAGGTTCAGAGTGATTTTCACAGCTGAGATATTCCAAGAAGAGTTGATGTGAGCAGCAAACAAAGCCCATAATAGAAACAGTCACCTAATGCAATATTGAAATAATTCTGTGAAATATTGAAGAGCTCACTTCACTTTCCCTAATTGGGTGGTTAATTTGCACATGGGGCTAATTACCACAGTACGAGGGGAGTGCCAGGAACTCATTGTGAG